TTCGTAACAATTCGAGGAACTGCATTGAATTTCATACAAATACAGGGAATTTCTTAGAAGATCAAACAATTTCGTACATCTCAACGAGCTTCAAGGATTTTTTCTTTTTTTTTAGGGAACTTCGCAGCAGTTTGCCAGAGATCTACTTGCCTAAGCGGTGTTGCAATAAACTTTTCGAGAACTTCATGAAATTTTAAGGAACTTCCCAGATGTTCATGAGTACTCGTAGAAGTTCAGTGCAGTGCACAGATGTTCTATGGTCCTCATAGAGGTAAGAGAGTTTGATTGTGAAACGTGGAAAAAGTTCAGGGAACTTCGTATAGGTTGAGCATTTGTTCAAGAACTTAATGGAATTTTGCAGATGTTTTAGAAGTTCAAAGAGCGTTGTAGAAGCTAACGGATATTTTTGAAATAGGTGGAAAGTTTTTCAAGAAGTAGTCGAAAGATCTCCAGATTGACGAAGGTTTCAGTTGAGTTTTGTGGATATTTTTTTCAACTCAATAGGTTGATCAAGTATTATTCTTAAGATCTCCAGCTGTTTAAAAATATAATTTTGTCTTTCAAATATTAATCCAAGACGGCAAAATATATAAGCACGTAATACTTTAGACTGATCATGCTAATTATTCAGAAAATCATAGACAATAAATGGTAATTTCGTCGCTAAGATAGTCTCCCAAAATGGGATGCTGTGAAAAGGAAGGGTTTTCTTCTTCACTGAGCGTCAAATCACCAACTCTCATTAGAGTAAATTTGCCTAATTTTCGCTAACAAGTTTTACGAACCAAAATGTGAAGCGAAAATTCGTGTGAATCAATTCGGCGTCTAATTTAACAATCGTAGATCGCCCCTGGCCATATCACAACTAATCTTTCCGACTCAAGTTGGGAAATTTTCCAAGGACGTCCCTAAATTCCCTTCCTAACTGAGCTTCATTATCTCCTCAAAACACATTTCGCTATTTTTACCTATTTTCGGACGGGTCAACCTTACTCTTGCGGAAGCGGATTGAACCGGTTCCCGGCGCAACTATATCCGTCCCTTTCGGGCAGTTCTTACATCCACCGTCGCTCACCTAGATAAGACTTGTTTACAACGTTGGAACAACTCTTTTCCACTTCTCCAAAACAAAAAAGAAGGGGGCGTTGTAAATTGTCGATTAGATTACATTCATTTGTTTTTTTTTTCGGGAAGGGCCCCGGGACTGTGTAAATATGGTCACTTTCCTCAAGGGTTTCTCAAGGCTCGCGCATCGTTCGTTATCTTTGCCTTGGACTTCACTCGCCGTGTGAGCTTACAAGAAATTCCAGTGTTTACAAGTCTGTCGGACACTAAACTACATCGGGAATGGGGATGCCAGATTTGAAGACATGTCTTCATTTTGATGGTATTCGGTGATATTCTGCACACTTACTCTTTTTTGCCGAATCTGCCGGCAAACACACTTTGCCGAGTTCTCAGCAAAAGTGACGTTTGTTTACTGAGTCTTGGAATATGTTTTGCTGAATTTCAGCAATCAAATGTCATGTTTGCTGAGATATCAATAGAATGTATTGCCGATCACTAAGCTGTGCAAATCTCCGCAAAAAATTGCCGAGCAGGCGAAAACAAAACTAAGTGTGTGTGAAGACATTTCATGTTTGGTGATGATTTTTGAACAAATGTTGAAAGTAAAGAAGATTTTCGAAAGTTTTTTGAATTTCAAGTAGACAAGTGAAAAATTTTGATGAAGAAGTGGCTTCCAATTTGAAGCTCTTTGATTTTGATTATGAATATAAGACTTAAAGTGAACATTTTATACGATACACGAGGAGATGAAAGTATAGAGTTGGTAGTTCCGTTATTGTACGGCAGTGCGAAAATTGCTAGGTAAGAACAATTTTGAGTGAGGTACGAATCAGATCGCGCATTCCCTTTACCAAACTCACCCGTTGGCGAGGGGCGGTAAGGGGTGTTTCCCATCGCCACCACTGGTAAAAGGAATGATCGCCGATTCGCTTATGTACCTCCGATGTGTGGAAACGGTTCTATCGATCGTTACACACGTAAGTCGCCATCTGACGTAAGCATCACACTGCCGTTCTGATATGATATGATGATAGTGGTTTACCACCCATTGCAGTACGGAAACTAAGTCCAACAGCAGTGGGCTCTCTTCTCTGTTTGTCTTGATCAAGCTTAATAACCTCTGATTGCCCTCAACATGTCGCTGTATGAAGGGCCAAAAACGGATTGGGTAGATCGATAGGAAACAATAAAGAATCTCCTTCCAGCAACTTGATCAGCCAATTGGTCAAAAAGACAAGCCCCCAAACAGGAAGATGCCCCAATGAGTGGGGAGCAGAGCTCGCCCTTTATCCACGAAATGTTATCAATAGGGAGTTGGCATTCCCACTCTCCCCGTCCAAATCGTTAAGCATCACACTGCCGTTCTGTAACGAAACTATCAATTCTATACTTTCATCTCCTCATCGATGGTATTCAATGTTCACTTTAAGTCCTTAAGTTGGCGTTAAGCATCTCCAATTATGTGAGCAATGTATTGAACAAACATCTACAGGTCTTAACTGAAATTTTCGTTTATCTGGATATATCCCCTGATTTTGGGAGAAACCCTTAATCAGTCCTCTTTGATTCCCTCTTAAAATAAATTTAACACATTGTCCTGAATCTTGAACCTAGGATCTCAGTAAGTTATTGCATGCTCTAGAATGTATTTTTGTGTGCGGAAAGCTTTCCAACGCGTCTGATATGTTATGTTTAGTTGACTCACAGAATCCTGGAATGTTTTCAAATCCTATAAATGGTATTATTTTCGGGTTTGATCTAATTCTTAATTGGGATAGTTGGTCGAATTTTCTACAGAGATAAATTAGACTTTGGAATTATAAAAATAAAAATAAAACTCAAATTAACTAGGATGGCGAAAAGTTTTTATACTAAGATAACGCTTCAAAACTGTGGAACTTAAAAAAATAATAAATATCTGGCGTTTAATTTGATCACGCTCTAAAAAAACAAAACACATAGAAACGTTTTCGAAATCCAGGACCTTGAAAAAAATAGTCCAAGCTTGGAAACAATCAAGATTCTAGAACAAATATTTAACTGTCGGATTTTGAAAATTCTGAGCAATAACACTAGAATTTTTACTTTAAGCTTTTCACAATTACTAACTTGATCAGCCTGAAGTTTTGAAAAACATCAAGAGGACTTTATTCAAATCTTCGAACAGCTGGACAACTTTCTGGTCAATTGAATATCTGAGAGACGTCAATCTGAAGTCTTGAAAAAATATCTCGAGAACTTTACTGAATTATTCGTCTATCTTGGGATCGTTTGTATACTTCCTGATCAACCTGCCGTCTTGGGAGAATATCTGTATTTTTGAACAGTTGGAAATTTTCAGAATAACACTTGATCAATGTGAGAGAATATCTTATAACTTATACAACGTTCCCTGAACTTCTTCCAAGTTCCACATGTTTTTCAAACTCTCTTAATTCTTCCAAGGTCTCAGAACATATATGAACTTCATCAAAAACAACATCTGAAAAGTTCCCTGAACTTAAACGTTTCTAAACCTTCCAGGAAGATCATTAAGCTTTTTTGAAGAAAGATCTCTTTCGAACTGCTACGAAGTTCCCTAAACTGAAACGAAGATTGCTGAAGTTGTTAGAAGTTTGCTAAACTTAAAAAAAACAAATGATCTTCTACGAAATTCCCTGAACTTTTTCAAAATTCTTTGCACCGCTATGAGGTTTTACGCAATTCCTCGAATTGCTACGTAATTCTTTAAACTTCTACAAAGTTTGGTGCACTTAGATGATTTTCCGCGAAGTTCCACGAAGTTTCCTGAACTTGTCCGGAATTCACTGAACTATTTCAAGATCGTCGGCTCAGCTCCCAAGTAACAATTCAGGTTTTATGAGGGTTCTGAAGACAATGATTTAGACTTGTAGAATGCTTTAAAACCTCGATAAAACTTGCAATGCTACTGGGGTTGGTAATAGCGCGGCTACAAAGCAAGATCATGCTGGAGGTGGCTGGGTTCGATTCCCGGTCCGGTCTAGGAATTTTTCGGGTTGCAAAATTTCTCGACTTCCCTGGGCCATAGAGTATGGTTGTACTTGCCATACAATTATACTAATGCAGAAATGGTACAGGCATCGAAAGCTCTCAATTAATAACTGTGGAAGTGCATCTAGAACACCAAGATGATAGCACGCAATAAGCTAATATGCGATAAGCTTGAAATTCGAAGATGAAGAAGAAGAAGATTCCAAGATCGTTAAACTTCAATGAAGTGCCCTGAAATTAAAAGAAGGTCCCGAACATTTACGAGGTTACCTTAACTTTTACAAAGTTCCTCAAACTCATAAAATTTTTCCACTTCTACGATGTTTCCTGAACCTCTAAGAAGTTCCCAGAATTTCTACAATGTTCCCTAAACATCTAAGAAGCACCTGAAGTTAAAGATAAATCTCGATGAACTTCAAAATGATTCACTAAAGTTCGCTTAATTTCTATAAAGTTCAATGAAGTTCTTCAAAGTTCACTAAACTACTACAGTCTTCGCTGAACTTCAACAAAATTCGTTTAACTACTACAAAACTTCCTGGACTTCCACGAAGTTTCCTAAGGTTGTTTGAAGTTCGCTGAACTTCTACAATGTAAGTAACTTCTACAAAACTTGCAAACAATTCTAACAAGTTTCCTGAACCTCTATGAAGTTCCCTGAAATTCTACGAAGTGCCATGCAATGATCTATGAAGCTTCTGGAAGTTCTAATACGATCCCTGAACTTTTACAAAGTTCCCTTAAATGCCATCCCCTTCCCCGGTCGCAAATTTGAAAAATATCGCTGAAGACATATGAATTCCATTTTCCAAACACACCTGGCATTCCTAACCGGGAACGCAGATCGTCGTCAAGCAAGATCGGGGATGCAAATGCAGTGTCACTTTGTCGCGTTGAAATATGGGATTCGATTTAATTACCTCCAAGCATTTACACGGTCGCGTTTTGCGTACTGCCCGGCTGCCACAAAGTTGATGTTTGAGAAGCTGCGCAGCTTGGTAGTTGTGTGGTGGGGAATGTCCTCTCCTAGGTGTATATATTTATATATATCACTGGCCTCCACGTGGTCCGTACCGGATAGTGCACCGGAAACGGAAGGGGAAACGGGGAATGTTGTCGAACGGTGCCACCCCCAGGTGAGGAGCAGTGTCTCACCGCGCGCACTCTACGACGATGGACTGGACGGCATCAGAGTGGAGGGGGACGGGGGCTGCAATCAGAGAGCGAAACAAGAGAGTACAGGTTAGTTGTAATTATCAGGTTGTGTTGTAGATCTTTGCTATGGACAAAGAATGTTGATTCGAAATAAATATTCTTTTAATGGTACAAGTCAGATCAATCGCTGGGACGTTTCCCCGCGAGGAGGAGGTGTTACCGAATACATTTCCCCACTTCCAGTGGAACTCGTTGCACCACGGACCGGTCGCCTAGGTCGGCAATCATTAGAGTCACGTTGCGGTTGAAAGTTTGCCGCAAGATCGCTTCGAGAAAAGGAAAGGTATCCATCGGCGATGATATCACGTTTAACCTATCTCTCGCCTTGTGGATCGGAGGTTCTGATGAGCGAGCGAGGGGTCCATCGGTGCCCGTTTCGTTTATATCGTTTCGCTTTAAACAAAAACCTGCCCGACGGGTGTGATCCCACCTCTGATGCCGCTGCCGCGAGGAGGTAATTATTTAATCAAGAATCAATTTCCACATACAATCAAAACAACAGCGGCACGACTTTTGCGCACTGGTTGGCAAGCACAAATCACATTTTGCCCTATGATTATGATCTCTCAGTCCTTGGAGAAATATCCGCACAGAACAGAACTTCAGCGCATGCACATCAGAACACAGATGTGTCAAGCAACATTAATTTCGAATGGGGTGCTCCACTCACTCAGTTTTGCGCTTTACTGATGCGGTCCCGCTTCGCACTCATCGTTTTACTGTCAAGGAAAAAGTAGCAGTAGTGCCTACTTTGGGATGCTTGCGGCAATAAATGAGGTAGGTATGAATACGGAGCAGCAGCAGTAGGCGCGGGATGATTTATCTGTGCTCAGGAACGTGGAAGTCAACCGTCTCGGATGCGGTTTTGCTGTGGGAAGGAGTGTTCTTGGTCACCCTCTGACGATCCGTCGGCATCATCTGGTGAAGGTAATACGATCACGATGATTCATTTGGGGTGGTTGACGTGAGTTCGATAAAAGGGATGCTTTCACACTTGGCTGTTGTAGTTTCATCAAGTTTCATCATGGTTTTGATGAAGCTCATAAACTTATCAACTGTAATTTTTTTTCTTTTTTAGAAGGGTGATTGTATTTTTAGTACACTAACTGAAGATCCCTATGGTTTTTCTCAGATACATTTTAATAATTTAACTGTTAGACGCTTGATTTGGTCCGGTAGATGGAATAATCATCGAACGCCTGACGCTTAAGGCATGTTATTTTATCATGTTCCATGACTGTAGTTTAGACGAAATTTATGAACTAGGAAAAGGTCACAAGCCTCGGATTATTAAAAGACTAACGCGTTTCATTGAGTTATTTCAGTTACAGCTCTGAAGCAAGGCTTGTTCATCATAAATGATGAAATATTTATTTAATGAAAAAACGTTAAAATATTTCAGTTCAGTTTACTTTTCATATTAAACGATAGCAAGGACTTATTTTGGTAAATATCAGAGTGTTTTTCAAATACCGTTTTCGATTTAGGTTCAACTTGGATCTTGATTATTGTACTTGCTAAAACCAAACGTCAGAGGTTTGTGTTTGGCGCCAACGAGCACTTGATGTTTAAATATAATGGGTTTTACAATACATTTCAAAGAAGGGAATTACTAAAGAAGCTGTTGATTTTCAAAATAATTTTTAGCCATTTTTCGAAGAAATTTCCGGAATGTTTGTGAGTGTAGAGGAGTAAGGGGTATTTTCCTGAAACTTTGATTATCACACTCGGAAGAAACTTGGATGTATTTTCAGAACAATCTTGTATCTTGTTTATGAAGTTTTCTGAATTTTGAATACCTTCGAGGCGCAAGGAAGACAACCCTATATCCCTATCAGAGACGTGTTGGGTACCCGGGATCTCTGCTATATGCAGTCGATTTATATGTTTCTGCAAATGTCTAGTATAAGAATTTAATTCATTTGTCTTTTGTATCTCTTTATTAGTTTTTGTTTATCTTGTCCCCCGTCTCGATGAGTTTCATCGTCGCCCACTGGTCACCATAGCCGGTCGAACTCCAGACGAATCTAGAACCACACTACTGTTCATACTGTCGACATCGCTCTGATGAGACAACGAAACCCTACCCCCAAGATCCTCCCATTTTCCTATCATTCGACAATGTACCCCTCTAACCTCGGGTAAGCCGCGAGTATTCGGCCCAACTCCTACTAGACATAGAATCAAGTGAATTTAGTTACAAACAAAAAACAATAAATTAACGGCTCCGTAAATCTAACGCGATTGAGCCTTACAAATGAACGAACTAGATAAAAAAGAAGTTTTCTGAACGCATTTGCGCCGCGACTCGAAAAACTTTTGAGAGTCTTCACAATCATGTCAGAAGTCCTCTGAATTAGTTCACCGAACTCATCCGAAGTTTACTGAATAGCTAGGGAGCGATTTGAAACCCTCTGAAGTCTACAGAACTGTTCTGAGGATCGCAGAATCTCTCTGAAGTTCGCTGAATCTCCCTGAACGCATGTAAAGTTCATCAAATCTCCCAGAAGCTCGCCAAACTTTACAGCTTCTTCAATGTAGATCCTTTCAACAGATTTCCAAACCGCAGTACTGAGTACTCAGTACTGACTAAATTTGTCAGTAGTTCTGTAGAAAGCTCAGTATAAAGCTGCTTTAACGAGCTTTAGAGAAGCTCAGTGAACTCGGAGTCACTTTGGAAAGAACTGAATCATATAGAACATGTTGTGAATCACTTCGGAAAGTATTGAATCCCTTCAGAAATGATAGTAAGCACTTTGGAACATACTGAATCACATCAGAAATGTTCAGACATACTTCGAAAAGTACTGAATCACTTCAAAGAAATTCCAAATGACTTCTAAAAGAACTAAATTGCGTCAAAAATGTTCGGTATCACTTTGAGAAATATTGCATCACTTCAGTAAAGTTGTAAATTACTTCAGAAAGTGCTGAAATACTTTTGAAAAACTCGGAATCCCTTCCGAAAGTACTGAATCACTTCATCCATCATTTCGGAAAGTACTAAATCACTTTAATGAAATTCGTAATCTCTTCTAAGAGAACTAAATCACCTCAGAAAGTGCTGAATTATTTTTTAAATAATCGGAATCCAGTGCAGAAATGTTGAACACCGTTTCGGAAAGTGGTGATTCACATCAGAAAAGCTTGGAATCACTTCGGAAGGAACTGAATCAATTCAGAAATGTTCATAATCATTTCGGAAAGTGCTGAATCACTGTTCGAAATGTTCAACATTACTTTAAAAAGTGCTGAATTACTTTAAAAAAAAAATCGGAATCCCTTCCGAAAGTACTGAATTACTTCAGAAATGATCAGCATAACTACGGAAAGTACTAAATCACATCAGAAATGTTCGAATACACTTCGAAAAGTACTGAATCACTTCAAAGAAATTCCAAATCACTTCTAAAAGTACTAAACTGCGTCAAAAATGTTCGGAATCACTTTGGGAAACATTGCATCACTTCAGTAAAGTTGTAAATTACTTTAGAAAGTGCTGAATTACTTTTGAAAAACTCGAATTCCCTCCCGAAAGTACAGTATCACTTCAGAAATGATCGGTATCATTTCGGAAAGTACTAAATCACTCCAGAAATATTCGGAAACACTGCGGAAAGTACTAAATGACCTCAGAAAGTGCTGATTTACTTTTTAAAAATCTGAATCCGTCCGGAAAGCACTGAATCACTTTACAAATGTTCGGAATCACTGTGGAAAGTACTACAAAAATGTTTGACACCATTTCTAAAAGTGCTGATTCACTTCAGAAAAGCTTGGAATCACCGGAAAGGAACTGAATCAATTCAGAAATGTTCATAATCGCTTCAGAAAGTACTGAATCACTGTTCGGAATGTTCAACATTACTTTAGAAAGTGCTGAATTACTTTAAAAAAATCGGAATCTATTCCGAAAGTACTGAATCATTTCAGAAATGATCAGCATAACTTCGGAAAGTACTAAATCACTTCAGAAATACTCGGAAAGTACTGAATCACTTCAAAGAAATTCGGAATCTCTTCTAAAAGAACTAAATCACCTCAGAAAGTGCTGAATAACTTTGAAAAAAAAAAAAAAATCGGAATTCTTTTAGAAAGCACTGAATCACTTCACAAATGTTCGGAATCACTGTGGAAAGAACTGAAGCACTACAGAAATATTTGAAGCCATTTCGGAAAGTGCTGATTCACCTCAAAAAAGTTTTGAATCACTTCGGAAGGAACTGAATCAATTCAGAAATATTCAAAATCACTTTGAAAAGTGCTGAATCACTGTTCGGAATGTTCAACATTACTTTAGAAAGTGCTGAATTACTTTTGAAAAACTCGGAATCCCTTTCGAAAGTACTGTATCTCTTCAGAAATGATCGGCATCATTTCGGAAAGTACTGCATCATTTAAGAAATACTCGGAAAGTATTGAATTACTTCAAATAAATTCGGAATCTCTTCTAAAAGAACTAAATCACATCAGAAAGTGCTGAAATAGCTTGAAAAAAAAAATCCGAATCCTTTCGGAAAGCACTGAATCACTTCACAAATGTTCGGAATCACTACGGAAAGTACTGAAGCACTATAGAAATGTTTGACAACCTTTCTAAAAGTGCTGATTCACCTCAGAAAAGTTTGGAATCACTTCGGAATGAACTGGATTACTTCAGAAATGTTCATTATTACTTCGGAAAGTCGTGAATCACTGTTTAGAATGTTCAACAGTACTTTAGAAAGTGCTGAATTACTTTAAAAAATTCGAAATCCCTTCCGAAAGTACTGAATCACTTCAGAAATGATCGGCATAACATCGGAAAGTAGTAAATCACTTCAGAAATACTCGGAAAGTACTGAATCACTTCAAAGAAATTCGGAATCTCTTCTAAAAGAACTAAATCACCTCAAGAAGTGCTGAATTACATCGAAAAAAAAAATCGGAATCCTTTCGGAAAGCACTGAATCACTTCACAAATGTTCGGCATCACTGCGTAAAGTACTGAAGCAC